TTTCTTTACATATGTATTATCATAATTTAAATAGCGATACCTAAGTCAAGTTAGGGATCAAGAATCAGTGAGATTCCTAAGTTAACTTGGGGACTGATAACAATTTACGGTGTTCTAACCATTTACTAGCAAAATGTCATGTGCCATTTCGCCAATTGGTGAAACTGTACAAATTCTGGGCGAAACGGCATTGACACTTAGCCAATGGCCGAAACGACACATGACATTTCGCCATGGCGAATTGTCTTTTGGCGAATCGTCTTTTGGCGAAACGGTTTTTTACCATTTGTCCGGATTTTCTGGACAAGGTGGCAGCTATGGTTTTGATTGAGTGGGAAAGTTCTTAGAAATAGGCCCAGCAGTCAAACCCAGTTTTTTTAGAAAACCTGTTTCTAGATCCAGAAGAAAAACCGCATTCACAGTCGATATAGCACATGTTGGCGAACATTTTGGTATACTTCTGAGTTAGATTCGAGGATGGATGTCGGTGGATGCCTCATTAACATTCAAAGACCTATAAGGAGCATGAATTCGCTGACATTTCTATTTTTTTCCTCTGCGATTACTGTTCCGAATCGAAACCCTTTGATGTGATGTTTTTTCTTACCATATATTGATAGTGTGTACCTAGGAGTATCACAAAACACGGGTTAACAAACTGCCACTACTTGGTTTTCCTGAACTAGAAAACATTTTCTGTTATCGACTTGGAGCCATGTTTCCATTTACAAAACCAAACATATTTGAACCACCAGAAGGACAACATCAAAATAACGGTATAATATCGATGTTCTGCTTATAATTCGTTCACGGTTAAACATAGAAAAGTCGTACTTGCAGCGATTATAAGCTTAACGTTGTTGAATATATGAAGTCGGAAGCGATTCATTAAGGCTAGGAAAAGAAACGCTTGAGACCATTACTTCATTCGAACAGTACTATTTTTATCAGAATCACTCATATATATTGCAGTGGAAATCAAAATCTAGGGCAATTTAAAATTCCCCTAAGGAGTGTTTGATTGATATTTAACATACTGATATTGATATTTTATTTAATTATTTATGTTTTATTAATATTATACATTCAAGCATGAACATTTTTTTTGGATGACACTTTCTACAACATAGGGTTCTGAAAAAAATTCTTTTAGCAAAAGAAAGCTCCTTCGCTGCTCTACAAACTTTGCTCGAGACACTCTTTATGGAAAGTACGACTCGCATCTTTTAAAATTTTGTTTCGTTGCTAAGAAAATTCATTTTTTCTAAATAAGAATCAGCCGGATTACCTACTTTATTTTCATCTCACTGCAAAAAACGCAAATGAAAATAGGGTTGTGGGTTTAGCGAAGAGTTTTGTCTGGTGCTTACATCACTATCCAAAGACGATTATATTTGTATAATTTTCTCGATTTTGATGTTTAGTAGAATAACTTACTTACTTCACGCCCGCCGTGAATTGTAAATATATCACTAGAACTACTCTCGTGATTTTCTACAGTTACATTAAAGAGCAACCGTAATCTACTTTAACGCAAAAGTATTCGTATCTTTTTGTGTCAATCTTAAAAATCCTTAGTTTGGTCAGAGGGGTCGTTTAGTCCCTAAGGACCAGAATCGGCCTCCTCTCTGTCTGATAACCTTGAGTATCTTGTCCAATCGTAGATTATCTACAATCCTGAATCCCGTGAGAATGTCTATTTCACGATTTGAAAGAATGCGCTTCATTAACACTCAAATTCATCTTCCGTTGCCCGTACTATAGTGCAGATACAAGGGAAAAAAACACTTTTTATTATTTTAACGTTAAAGAAATATAAGAAACACCCTAAAGAGACGACAATCGTTGGAATTCACTAGAACTACTCTCGTGATTTTCTACAGTTACATTAAAGAGCAACCGTAATCTACTTTACCCATGGGGAAATTTTATCGATTTTTTACGCGTGAGGGACCGTGAAATGTCAGCTTGAACTTTCACAAAATTTTGGAGGTAAAGACAGCAAGTTTCACGACAGTTTGGTCGTGTTGTTGCAACATCACACGCGTGGCTACGCATGAAAAATCTTCACATGTGTACACAAGTGAACAATCTTCACGCGCGATAACGTGTGAAAAAATCTTGACCATGCCGACCATCTATAGTCAACTGACTATACATGGTCACCATGGTCAAGGTATAATGCAGATTCCATCAATGCAACTTCATCTAGTACTTTTCCACGTGTGATCACTAGTTTCTAAAATATCACATTTTATACATATCACCGCAAAGTTAGAGTCGAACCAGGGTACTTTGAATTAGAAATCTACGATACTACTATTGAGCTAAGTTGCCTGAGAAACTACTGAATAAATCTCATACTCATAGTTGTCGAATCAATCCTCGCCAGTTACCACGTGTAAAAAAGTTCCCACGCGTGATTACTCGTGAACTTCCTAAATCTTTTTTCTTAGTTTCCAACTTTTCCAAACTTTTTTAGTTAATACTTCCTCCCGGGGAACAAGATGATTCCCAGGCATATTCCAACAGCAAATACCTTCGGTCTACAGCAAAGGTTTTCATCTGTATGTATGTACAACTTTCGGAAGATATAGGAGAAACTTGTATTTATGCTTGCCGCTCAATCTTCACGACATTTCGCACCTGTAAAAGGTTTCTCACGTGGACGCGCGTGAAACATAAGAATTTTGTCGCTTGGAGTTAAGCGTGAATATTATTCACGAAATGGGTTGCGTGAAAAACTGACGTGCGAATAAAGGTGAAGATATTTTTCACAATGAAATTAGTAGGAAACATTTTCACGCGTGTCCGTAAGTGATGTTTTTTTACGGAAATTTTAACACGAGAAATTCACGTGTGGCCACTACACACTTCACGACTTTCACCTGTGATCATGTGCAAAAATATGACGCGAAACGTTTTCGTGACCAGTTCACCCGTTGTCACAAGTGGAATATATTTTTCACGCGTGCTCACACACCATTTTACGATGTTCACGTCCGACCACAATTCATTTCACGATATTCACGCGTCTACACACCGCGATACCTACTAAACTTTCCCCATGGGTAACGCAAAAGTATTCGTATCTTTTTGTGTCAATCTTAAAAATCCTTAGTTTGGTCAGAGGGGTCGTTTAGTCCCTAAGGACCAGAATCGGCCTCCTCTCTGTCTGATAACCTTGAGTATCTTGTCCAATCATAGATTATCTACAATCCTGAATCCCGTGAGAATGTCTATTTCACGATTTGAAAGAATGCGCTTCATTAACACTCAAATTCATCTTCCGTTGCCCGTACTATAGTGCAGATACAAGGGAAAAAAACACTTTTTATTATTTTAACGTTAAAGAAATATAAGAAACACCGTAAAGAGACGACAATCGTTGGAATTTAATCTGCGTCTTCAGTTTCTGATTCAGACTGTACATCATCTTCAATGATATCATTGTCATGTTCATGGGAAATTGCATCCGCTCTTTTGAATGTCTCCTCATATTTGATCGTGTGTTCAATCAAACTTGATGCCATTTGCATATCACATGCTGTCAGCCAAGCTTTGTCCCACACAGAAACATCTTTCAAACTAAAAGTCACGTTGTTATTGCGAATAAAAGTTTTCATTTCCGCCCAAGCAAGTTCGATTGGATTGAGCACACAGTGTCTTACTGGCAGACGTAAAATATCAACATCGAATTTTGCGGCGGCTACATCTGTTTTGAATACCTTTTTTGGAGCGTAGGCATCAGCTAGTTTCAACAACTCCGCTTTTGTATAAATAGCTAAATATGGCACTTGATGATCATTTAGCCATTGGACCACCTGTGCCTTCACCCAAGCAGGCTTTGGTATTTTCGTCTCGTCTGTCAATTCATTATGCCACGGTGCATTATCCACTATTATACAGATTTTTGAATTTCCATTTTCAGCTCGTAGAGTTCCTGCAGCTTCAAAAACCCAATTGACAGAACATTTATCGATGGTTGGGTAAATCTTTTCAGCCAGCATCAAGTTGAACTGGTATCTGATCATGTCTTCACCGTATTCTGATAACCGGATCGAAGATCGACCGCTATGTCCTCTTTTCTTGGGCAAAACTGGATTCGGCAAAGTAACCTGGGCGGTTGCGGCTGCTATCATGTGTCAACAGGTAAAGGGTTACTTTTTCTTGTCCGTATGGTATATGTTGACTCATCCTTTGGTTCATCCGATACTGTCCCAGTTAACATTTCATGTTTCAAATTGTTCACTGAACGAAGCGAAATACCGAGTATAGGCACTAACCGTTCATTGACATAAAATAATGGAATCGTCCCAGATTTTTCGTTTTCCACAAAACGGATAACATTGAATATTAAACATTTTTCTTCTCTCGAAAAATCGTGACCTCTCGGCATCTTTGTACAATAATATCTTTCACTTGCCAGAAAGATGTGTGTATTGCGCACTGGCTTTATGAAATGTGTTTTCTTTCTCCTTTCTGATAAAATATCATTGTGCGCGCACATTATTTTGCCTTTCTCTCCATCCACGTATACATGTTAGGTATGTTTAGTTAGGGATATCTCTTCCAACGTTAATAGTGAAGATGCAGATTAGGGATATCTCTTCCAACGTGCCCGACTGGTACCAATACTGACTGCAGATTGGTAGGATTGGTACCAAGCCCGACTGATACCAATCCTACCAATCCCCAATCGGATTCACTGTCATCAGGTTTTCCTATCAAAATTTTGGTTTGAAATCATGCTTTTTCGCGTTTTAGTCCTATTTTATCAGTTTTCTTTTAACAAACACAATTTTACAGCGTTATTCTCTATTTACTAATGTGTTCTGTAATTAACAGACGATGTATTTCGGTAAGTTACAGGATTTTGCTGATACATGGAAAGCTCTTTGGAAAGATTCTTTTTTAACAATCGGTAGCTCGTTTACTCCTCCACAAATTTTGCGCGAGACGCTTTTTATTAGCTCTTCTAAATTCGCCGCAAATTAGCTTTTAACGAGAAGAACTTCGAATTTAGGGCCTTTTTTTGTCACAGCGTCACGCGCCGAAAAACGGTTCTAAAAATTCGAGTCCTTAACCACATACCTTCATTTTTATAGCAAAAGCAGAGTATGGCGAGCTGCGTCGAATGGCGCAAGAACGAAGGTTCTAGCTCTTACACTTTTTGAGAAAAGCTCAAACTACTGTGTCAAAAATGTCACAGCGTCGCGCTTGGACAAGCCCTAGACAAGAGGGTTTTATGAACTGTAAAAAATACAACAATTTTCTTCTCCAAATACAGTTGAAGTTGAATTTCTTCTATAAACCACATGGGACAAAGAAAGAAAAAAAGAAGCAAATGAGGATCAGTTTTAAAAAAAAATAAGATGTAACCGTTTTTCCTGTGTTTTGGGCAAAAAAATACGTCTTCTGATTTTTGACACTTTGCTTTTCTGATTTATAGATTTTCTTTTCTGATTTCTGAGGTGTTGAGTTGGCAACCCTGCTTCAAACACATATATTCTGACAGATCTCATCGAGCTAATTCCGAATATCACCTTTCCAGCTCGATTGGAGCGCGTTTTTGCGGAGAAAAATTAAAAATACTGAGAGGTTCTAAAATAGCGAAAAATCATTCACTTTCAGAACAACCTGAGATTCTCACCTTATAAACATATCTAGGTTTTTGCGTTAAGTACTACCGCCCTCATTTATACGCCAAGAGAATTCGCTTCAAACGAAGATTAAAAGTATAACACGCTTTTTTGAAATTCCTTTTTGTTGCTAAGATTAACCTACTAATTTCACCATGTTTTACCCGGCTTTCTCTTCGAGAACATAATGCAATCAAGGTGAATCATTCATCTCAGACTTGCTTCGAGGCAGAGCTTAAAATAAGTACACAGCAACTTTATTTGTAAACACGCTCTCTACTTGTCACAGAAACTATGCTAACAGCACAGTTTTTGAACTTTTAGAAAAGAGAGTCACTAACAGCAAAGCGATCTTACACCGAGGAGGACTCACAATTGTTGTAAAATCATCAAACTTTGATGCATTTAACACTTCTGTGCATTTTTATTTCGAAACCTTTGCACAGTAAACATTGATTGAGTAAAAAACACAACAGTGCTTAGATATTTTCTGAGAAAGAAGCCTCGTGCCTGATATACGCAACACGTCCGAAGAAAAATTCCAACTCTGCAATAGTAAAATAAAAAGAACTTGGCATAAAATTAGTTATTTTTTTGCTTCAATTCTGCTTTAGAAAAATTAAGAAGCAGATATAAGAAAGTGCCTTCTATAGAGCGATTGTCCCTAATTCGAACCACTTTTTAGCTAGTGAAAAGTTTTTACTTTTTGCTTTTTGCTTAATTTTCTTGGACAACGTATATTATGTTTTATACTGCAAAGTGTAAAATCGTCTCGCGAGTTCAATGGTATAAAAATTATCTAGTTATCATCAAAACTGAGTGAGTTCTAACCGGTAGTTTGATGATGAGTTGTCTGGTTCGAATTAGGAGTACTGTTTCTAATTCGAACCACACATGAAATATATTTTCCTAATTCGAACCAGCTAGCGCAGAACAAGCAAAAAATAGCAAAATTTCAAAAAACCGCTAGTTCCTGCAACCCGAATGTCAGATTTTCAATATACTCTTGGAACAAAAAGTGTTCGCCACATCAAACCGAGTAAAACTCCAGCGGTTCAGCCTTTAATTCCATTTCTATGCAGAGATATTCAATTATCTTTAGACATGTCTCTGATTCGAATTAGGAGCACTATTTTTAATTCGAACCACAAGCAATTTTTTGTTCCTAATTCGAACCAATACACGCAAAATGCATAGAAAAACGAGACCTAGTTAGAAAACAGAGTCCTCTTACTACCCAAACTTCGAAATCTGACTATAACCTTAGTACAAAAGTTATTCATCAGAGAATAAGCTACAAGCTCATAGCGGTTGAGCCTTAACCGATAAAGTTTTACCTAGAGCTTTTAACAAAGACTTTCTCAAATGATTTTCTTGTCTGTTTATGACAAATAATAGCCGTTTATGTAAACAGATTAGCCAACACTGTTAACTATGCAGAATGTTATGTTTTTTCCTGATTCTGAGGTCTCTTCCCAGTACGGTGTTAATAAATAGTAAGAAAAACATCGATATCTACAACATGTGTGAAAAGAAAAGAAAGTACTATACAAGTGAAATATATTCGTCTTCTTTTCTATCGGCGACGCCATTTTTTTTTGTTATATACACACGCTGTAGATACCCGACGTTTTTCTTATCATTTCAGAGGAGACGAAAAAGCAGTGTCTGTTATAATACAAGGCACTTATAAGTGGTGTGAAAGTAGCACTTTTGAAGACCACTTTATATTCGAACTTTTTGTAATTTATATCTGCTTTATTTTACTGACGCATACTGGAAATATTGATATCGAAAACAACTTCTTTAACAGTTTCAATTAGCGTTTTTCACATTGAAGGAAGCATTTTGCTAAAGTAGGATTTAGCGTACTTTTCGCGATTTCACAGTGAAGGAAGTGTTTCCCAAAGTTGAGTCTGGAGACAAAAGGATGTCAAATTTAATTTCCTAATTTTGATCTCATAAGTTCGACTTCATACAGCTCGATCTTCAGGGTTAAAACACAAAAAACCGTTTTCCGCCTTAAAGATCAGCTTCTATAGAAACTGGTTTTCGCACATAGTTTTTAGATAATTAAACTTGCTGCATTCCATGTTGCAGACTCGAGTCTCAAAAATGCTTCCTTCAATGTGAAAAACGCTAATTGCAACTGTTAAAAAAATTATTTTCGCCATCAGTATTTTCAGTAAAATATTAATACTAGTGTATACCTAATGATTGTGTGATCTCTCTCTTTTTCTTTTATTGTTTGTGTGCGTATATATAGTCACGCATGGTCAGTTGCGTGTATAAACATCGCTTCTTGTCACATTTTTATAAAAAAAGACTATGTCAAAGCTTTTCCTATGAGAGAGAAAGGCCTTTTAGGCCCTTTATTTCAGAAAGCTAAGAGCGCGATTTATCTGCTGATGTCCTATGCGAATGATCGTTTATTTTTTTGTATTTTTGCTGCTTCTTTCTTCCTGATATAGAATTCAAAGGAAGAACACTAAAGTTCTGTGCAAGTTTCTTTTTGCTGAGTGCGAATCTTCTAAAACCATACTGCGATCGTATATATACGATCGTAGTAAACAATTTTCTTTGCTAAACGGAAAATCGTCTTTATCTTAATTGGGAAGCATTTTTCTGAGATGGCGCATATGAGAGAAAATGTGGAGAACGAAATTCTGCGCATAACTAGAAATCCTTAGAATTCTCGAGATGAATTGTTTTAATGTTTTCCTTCAAAACTATATTAGTGTTATTTTTGCTAAAACGGATACTATAAACTGGAATACCACATTTAATAATTGCTGTAAAATTTGATCAGTTCGCAGTTGTTTTTGCAGAAATAGCACTAATACTTTTGCAGAAAAATATTAAAATGATTTATAGGGAACGAAACCTTTCGGGCAAACCGACTGACTTCTATAAATTTTTAGCTGTGTGCAGAATTTCATTCTCCACATTTTCACTCCTAGACACCACCTCAGAAAAGTGCTTCCCGACTGAGATAAACACGATTTTCTGTTTAGCAAGGAAACTTGAATGTTTTTCTTGAATGAATTGCACAAAACCTTTCAAGAACCCGCTCCTAAACCTTCTTTTAAGAGTTTATTTCCTACCATAAAAACGTTTTAGCAGGAGGTTTTTGACGTCTACGATACCACTCTTTGCCGCATTTTACTAAAACATAAAGCGTAGCTGATTGGGACACGCTTCTAAACCTCTTTACGTTCTGTACACGACGCTTCTTTTTTAGAGTGTACACGCGCTGAACTATCCAATAATTTGCAAACCCAATATCTACCTTTGCTAAAACAAACAATACATTCCTGACGCAGACAGGCGTTTCTGCTAGCGCTATAACATCACATAATCGACACGTC